AATCTATCTCATAAAACCACGTTCTATATTACATCGAACTAGGATTATTTTAGAAATCGATATGAGATTCAAAGTGTAAAAATGTCTAGTACTTTGAATGTTTTAGAAAATTATTCGAGAAGCTTTATAAATGAATAATTAGTATATTATCATAAATTATTAAATAACAACCCCGTCTTAGTATTGATGAGAAATAAGAAATATTAATTATTTTATTTAAATTATTTTAATTACGTTCTGTGCGTATGTTCAGGACAGAACTGCCCTAGACGTGTGGCGCGAGAAGACTTTGGAATTTGTATTTTCATAAACGAAGTTACAAACTATGTAGTACTGATGAGAACGGGCATCATTTTTCTTCGTCATGCATTAAATTCGAAGATTAAAGAACGTAGAATAATACTCTCTAACGTCTGGGAACCAGTAATTACAAGAATATTGTTAAAATTACATTTATTTGCAACGGTTGACACTGTATCTCGTCATGTGTACCCCGTTTAGTTCACTTTAGACAGATGTTACACCGTTATCCGGATAGCTCTCGTCTAGATAAAGCACTCGATTTGTAGGTGAAAGAACGTAGATTAATCCCCTGCCATTGACAATAACAATAAACGACCAGAACACTGTTAAAATCGCATGTAATTGCGGAATACCACTATTTTTTTGAACGGTGGCGCCACCCGTGGCGAATCGCTAAAACTGTTAGCCATATAATGGGCTAACAGTTTCAGCGATTCGCCACGGATGGCGCCACCGGTCAAAAAAATAGTGGTACTCAGAGATTAAATGCGATTTTGACAGTGTTCTGGTTGTTTATTCTTATTTTCAATGACAGGAGATTAATCTACGTTCTTTCAACTTCAAATTGAATGCTTGATCAAGACGTAACCTGTCCATATAACGTTGGAAGAGCTATTCAAAGTGAACTAACCGGGGTACGCATGATGAGAGACAGTGTCAACCGTTGCAAACAAATGCGATTTTAACATTGTTCTTGTAATTACTAGTGTCCAACCGTTAGAGAATAGAAATCTACGTTCTTTCATCGTTGTATCTAATGCAAAACGAAAAAGAATCATGCCCGTATAGCGGTTTATATGCGATAGAAACTTTTTGGCATCTGGATTGCCGCTCCTAATTATATCGACAGGTGAGTGAAAATTTCTAGTGATTGAAAAATGCAAATATCTCAGTCATTTAGCACTTAAAATGAACGTCATTGGTCTCAAATTATCCTTCAGGACCTAATGCATGGACCCAATAGTGCAGAACCCTTGAATTAGTAAAATTAGATATGCCCGTACTACCGTAGCCCCTTAAGGGGCGGCAACCCTGATTGCAAAAGATTTCGAATACATTTACACCGCTGAACGGGCATCATTTTTCCTCGTCAAGCATTAAATTCCAAGTTTGAACAACGTAGATTAGTTCTTTCTAGCGACTGGAAACCAGTACTTACAAGAACATTGTTAAAATCACATTTGTTTGCAACGGTTGACACTGTATCTCGTCATGCGTAACGCGGTTAGCTCACTTTGAACAACGTTTACAACGTTATACTGACAGCTTCAATGTTGACCAAGCCTTCCATTTATAGCTCGAAGAACGTAGATTAATCCTCTGTCATTGATAATAACAATAAGTGTCCAGAACACTGTTAAAATCGCATTTAATCGTGGAATACCACTATTTTTTTGACCGGTGGCGCTACCCGTGGCAATTCGCTCAAACTGCTAGCCAAATTATACCGACAGGTAAGTGAAAAATTCTGCCGTTGGAAAAACGCGAATATCTCAGTTATTAAAAGCTTAAACTGCAAGTCATTAGTCTCAAACTGTTCCTTAGGACTTAATGCGTGGACCCAATACTACAGAACCCTAGAATTAGTAAA